CTTAATGCAACAGAAATACCTGAAATGAGTACAACATATGCATATACACGACTAGAGGTACATTTACTGTAATATATGATGAAGCTTACAAGACATACAGGTGAGAACTGTCAGCTTTCAAACTCGACCAGTTATCGTCTGACTATTTTAAATAGAAGTTTACAGTAGGCCTGTCACAAAAGCACATTTTGAAGTTTGATATAGTGCTGTAAATATAGACATATAAATGATAATACTGAAACAAATTTATGCCACTGACAAAATAACCCAAGAGATTTAAACCACAAAAACTATTCTAAATGTACAATATTGTTAGAAAATCATCAGATGCAATAAATAAATAGCAAAATCAAACACTTTAGTCTGTATTGAATCATAGAAGTTGTTAATTCTAACCTTTATGGCTTAAATCTGATCATATAGCCAAAAAAAAAAAAAAAACACAACAACAAACAATGTCCCAGTAGTGCAAAGAAAAAGCACATGATAAATTCTGATCTCCCAAAATTATTGTTCCATCTGTTATATATTCAATGATAAGTCTATATAGTAATTGGCATGACAGGTCTTGTTTACAGTACAATGTACATCAACGCTACCTAGTGCCTCCAATCAATTTAATTTCTCTCCAGCGACTAGGTCAGGAATCAGAATACACTAGACGGTTCGTAAAAACTCCGGAAGTGCGAGTTCAGGCACCAGCCAATCAGCAAAGAGCCATTCATTCTGTGTTGTCAACGATTCCCGAGATTGAGGATTTAAAGACGGAAAAAAGAGAATGTTTGGTGAATTTTATCAAGGGGAAAGATGTTATTGCGATTCTCCCTATGGGATTTGGGAAAAGCTTAATATACCAGTTAGCCCTGTTAGCAGAGCATTACATACGTCACGACCAAATAGCAGCGATTGGTTAAATGAAAAAAAAGTACCCACCTATGTCGAGCGAACAAATTCTAACACTGCGAGGTCAGATGATTTCTATGAAGTGAAACCGGATGATGAATCAGGCTACATCGACGCATCTTAGAGTCTTATTAATAACTATAGTTCTAAGTCAAGTGTGCTTTATACTTGCTTCATTGCTGATTCTGATTGGGAAAACTGCATTCCATTGCCCTGTACATGTGCTATTAAGTTGAATCATGTCATTTGTTTGTTGGCTGCCGTCATAGGCCGTAGCTCGTGCATGTCATTATAATTATTCTCATGCATTTGCATTATAGCAGCATGTTAGAAACAGACCCAGAGGGAAAAAAACTGCATGGTAGAAATTGATCATATGTACTGTAATTCTGTGAAAACTTGGATCAGTTTAAGAAAAAAAAACAAAAACCTCAATTTTTTGTTTGTTTGAAGTGAAGTAAATTTAATCAAGAGAAAGTAATCAGATCTGAGAGCCTTTATACAAAATTGTAATTTTAGATTTTAGGACAACAACAAAAACACACAAAAAGCAATATTGCTCATCAGATGATAGGCAAAAGCACTCACTTTAAGAATGTTTTTGCAACTATTTATCTATTTAAACAATAAAAACCTGAGATAAATACTAGATCTTTTAATGCCAGGCGAACCTCTAACCTGAAAGTTACATGTTGCCCCTTTATTCTCCCCACACCTTTTTCAGGAAGTCTTAAACTCACTGTGCACTTTGGGACAGTATTGGCTTTATGTACTTAAAAATAAACAACATCCGAAACATACAACACATGTTCATAATGGAGTTGGCCCAGAATCTGCAGTTGGCAATCTCGACTCAGCAGAGCATGAAATGGGAACTAACTAAACAACATCAATAGTAAACACTTCCTGGACAAAGGCTGGAAATACTTGTATGCACTGTACCACTCCAGTGCACTATAGTCCCCTGTCCCGGGCTCAATCAAGAGCCCTTTATTCTGATGCTAGTATCTTCAGACTGGAGACAGAGAAGGAGGGAAGAGAGGGAGAGAGAAGGAGGAGAGAAGAAGAGAGAGCAAGAAAGGGGAAGGGGGACATAGACATAGATGAGACTGAGGAGAGGATGGAGGCAAGAGAGAAACAAGAGGAAAGAAATGGGTACAATGACAAATAAAGAAGGAGAGTAAGAGAAAGCAGGGGAGAGAGAGAAAAGTATAAAGAACAAGGGGGAGATAGGAGAAATAAAGAGAGAGACATACAGTATATAGATGAGGAGAGAGATAGATAGAGGGAGAGAGAAAGAGCAAGAGCAAGATCAGAGTTGGAAAGAGAAGGAGAGGGGAGACAGAAAGAAAAACAAAGCAAGAGAAAGAAGCTGTAAAAGAGGGCAAAGAGAGACTGAGGATAGAGGAAGGGGGGCAGATAGTAAGAAAAAAGGGACTGAGGGTTAACGAAATAGAGAGAAGGACATAGAAAGAGAGAGACTGACTTGAAAAGGGCAAAGAGGAATAAAGAGAAAGGATGAGGAGAGGATAAATACGCAGAGAAAGACTGAGGGAACAAGCGACATGGAGGAGGAAGAGGGGTGGAGAGAGAAAGAGAGAGAGGGTGAGAGACAGACAGCAAAAACAGCAAGAGACAGAAGTATAACGTAAGAGAAAAGGAAAGCGAGAAAGAGAGAAAATTTATAAATATGGAAAGAAAGAGAGGGAGAGAGAGGGTTAGAAAGAGAGAAAGACCACAGAGAGACATTGAGAGAGAGAGAAAGTGGCACAAAATGGCTGTGGGAACAATGCAGACTCCTGATTGCTCTATTGTGAGTTAGCAGTGCCCTCTGACATCTTGTCCTGAACCCAGAGTGTCTAATTCTGACAAGACGCACAGCTGGAGGCCTTTGTCACAGACAGGTGGCATACAGCGGGCGACTGTTCAACACACAAGACAAAGGAATGTACAATAGCAAAGAAAAATGGCTTCTGTAAAATGTCCATCAATCTTGTCGGTCTGTGTGTCTGTGCATGGCCTGGTTTTGGAGTGGTTTGGAGATTGGCACAGTCTGTCCCCAAGGTTACAAAAGGGACCCGTGCCAAGATAAATAAGATGAGAAAGAAGTGCTTCTGCTCCAGTTTGGTAATGGGACATGTGTAGAGGAGGTGAAGAAGGAAGAGAAGACTCGCCTGGTTTGTCAATAAGAGTTCAATGAAGACAGCAGATATCTGTCATCTGAAATCAAGCAGTAGTCCGTGGGTGTATACTGTTCTATGTGGTCTTATACTTTTGACTACCCTAGTAGTAGCAGGACAAAAATTAAAACAGGTACCCGAACTACAAGTTGAATATATCCAACTCACACAGGTTTTGATATAACATCAGCCTTCCTTAAGGCCAATTATTATTGCACTGGCATGAATGCGTGTACAAGTATCTACCAGGGATGGGGATGATTAGTCAACTGTTACATTAATTTTTAATCCACAAACCAAATGTAGGTTGTGTAGTGTCACGTAGGAAATAAGGTTCTTCCGACAGCGCAAACACTGGAGTTGTGGCCTCACAGTCCCATGTTTCGGCTCTGGCACACCTCCTTGAAGATCACTATATCCCTAAATGAGTGCGTTTACATGTACATCTGTATCCCGGTTTCGTCATGGTGCATGTAAACGTAGTATCCCGGTTACTGCAACATAAAGAGTTGTGCTAAACCTGCACACGTATGATCTCTGAAAAGATGAACCATCTCCAAAGCAACATATGCACAGAACAGACTTACCATCATCATGATCAACATCCCTCTGTCATACAGAAAACACTCATATTCCACTGAGTCGTGTTCTTTAGTCCGACAGAAGCTGACCGCATCAGCGCACAAGGAAAGAGCAGTTTTTTTGCTTATGGTTTATGTAAATTAACCATGTTTTCAGATTTGTTTCTGTAAAACTAAACAAATGTGTGCAAAGCTGCATTAAACACATTATAATGTCAAACGGACTGATGTGACTCTATAGTGGTTATGGTTTATATGTTGTAAAGTTTAGTTTATTTATACAGATTAGTAATAGTAATAATGATGATACTCTTAATATAAAAAGGTTAATGATGAATCAAAATTGGTTAATTCTCCCGACAATCAATTAAGGAAATTCAATCAAATGCCCATCCCTAGTACTTACCTACAATGCAGTATGCAAATGAAAATCACTATGGAATGATTAGAGAGTATTCACAATTATTTACTACTGTATCACACCCCACAAAATTCTTTACAATGAGATAAACTGAGAAATAAAGCAAAATCTAGCTTCCTCTTTGGCACTACAACAACATCAGTATAAAATTTGTTTCACTATTTTGGGTAATGCTGGAGAAAATGTATGTTTTTTCTAAACCTGTGTCAGTGAAAGTATGTAGTTTAGGGCAATATTCAGACATTGGACTATTTTCTTGTGTTGAATGGTGCTCATGAATTAAAGTGTCTTATTTTTGGTCATGAAATTAAGATTGAAAGCCCTTCTCATTCGTTTTAATAAGAGGAAATTGTGATTGATTGGGAAGGAACTGAAGAAGCTAGAAAGTGGGGCCTGGGGGAAAAAAATAAAATCGCACAGTATGAAATAAAAGCTCCACACATTAAAGGTGCATTGCGTAGCTTTTCTGGTGGAGATAAAGATGTTATTGCTTTGTCTGGAATGTTTCACAGTATGGCATTAAACCTTTCTATCTTTCTATCAACAAAACCAGACCAAGATACAAGTCAGATCTGTGAAGAGACAATCTCATCACAGTCAGAATTCTTGTTTTTCTGGGCATTTTTGAGCTATAAAACCACCTGTAATTGAATAAATGTAAGGCAGAACTGTGTAATCTCATACTGTGGAACATTCCAGGTAGAGCAATGACATATCTATAGAAACAAGCAGATAAGGGACCCCCCAACCAAAAAGTTACACAGCGCATCTTTAAAGTAGAAGGAACATTTCTGAATTTCTGACAATGCAATTCACATATACTTATATTCAAGAAGCCCTTACAAACACACCACACACAAAAACACAAAAACTACTCTAAAATGCATTGCTCAAACACATGTTAAGTGTACTCACAGCCTTTGTAGATGTCAGTGGGAATCTGCACAGCGCTGGAGGAGTAGTTGACCTTGTTTTTAAAATTGGGATCATCCACAAACTCCAATTCTAAAGATGTGGAGCTCTCCAGTGGATTCTCCTCCTCTCCATCCTCTGTCTGCAAAACACACGCACCAATCACACAAGTTAGACCAATATAGACACGTGCACGCAAATAGATTCATGCATTTGGACTGTGCCAACATGGCGGCTCGGGTACATCCAGTTTCCATATTCAAATAGACTTTTTCCGACGCGTGCTACCAGCTCAATTTTAAATGCTGCTAATTTAACTTGAGAAAACAGCAGGCAGTATCCCACCTCTAGTGAGACAGTCGTGTATACCTCCTCTAATTACAAATAACAACCCTTAAATTACGGCTTTGCAAACTTCATTTTGAAGATAGAATTTCCACTTAAAGGACTCATATTATGCTGTTTTTGATATATATTATAATGTTGTTTCCTCATCATAAACATACCTGGAGTTGTGTTATGTTTCACACAAACCCTACATATTAAGGCTGAGTTCATCTCTCAAACAGAAAACACTCTGTTCCACCTTGTCATGTAGTAATACAGGAAGTGCTTCACTGTGGATTCAACTCCATACATCTTCACTAGATTCATTTGGATCATTTCAACAAATTACCAATCTCTACTGAATAAAAAAGTAAAAGATAGTTGTTGAAAACTCCCACTTCATGACACACAAGGTGAAACAGACCAATTTGAGCTTTAGAGATGAAGACAGACTAATAGTAAAGGATTACTTAAGCATGTGTGAATGAAAACAACTCCAGCATTATAACATGGCCTAAAGCTCACAAGAGTCAATTTTGCATAATATAGGATCTTACATTTCTAGGGTTTTCTAGGCTGTGCCTTTTGTAGTTGGAAACGCAAGACACATTATTTATTTTTTGGAGGAAAATCTTGCATATCAAAGAAGCCAGCAGATAAAAGTGACATTTCTAAGCTATTTATCTGGATAAGTTATCATTGGTGTAAAATGTGTGTGTTCCCAGAGGAGAGGGTAGAGCCTGATTCAGCTGCCTTTCTACTCCTCCTTTCATTACACTCATTTACATGCAGCGCTTGTTGGATAATCCTTATTGATTTTATTAAGACATCTCACTGCACTTGTATTTTCTGTATAAATTATGCTTTAAAGAATTTGAAAGTGGTCTTCAGTGAAAGCAATTCCAACATTTTGCATCTTGTATTACTGTGGATTTATTTATTCATCACACCAAAATGTTATTATAATCTGACTTCTGGACCTTTGATATTATCCAAATGACATGATGTTTACATGTAATTTGAGTCTTTAGTTTTAGAAGTCAAAAAATCATGTCACTGTAGCTAATGTGAACCATATAGTCCCATAATGGTTCAACACATGGAGCACTGAAAAGCCCTAGACTACGTTCAGTAAAGAGCATGTCCTGTCTTGTTATAAGAGATTTTAAATTTAATTGTAATCACATATATTCGCTATTCTCCATCAATGTCAATATTTCTAACAATTAGAAATGCTTTTGTTAAGTCTTATTTGGTGAATTCAGAAATAAGAAAAGAAAATAATTTTACATAATTACATAATTTTCACTGCAGCCTGCTCCGCATGTTTTCATTTTAGATTCATTTAATTTCAATACATGTAAAAGCATTAACTGTAAACACAATAAAATCTAGTTGCCATAGTAAACAGAGGCCAGTTTGATTTGATTGTTAAACCCAGTGTGCTCATGCATGCAGACCGCTCTGTTCAGCTCTGTGCAGCACTAGCCCTCTGGCACAGCCCCACGCCGCTCCCCTTTGATTTCACTTCTTTTATTCTCAAATTCATTCGTCTGATAATGTGCCACATACTAATGCGCCGAAATATTTTGTGTGATTGCAATTTGCTCCAGCCATTCACTAAAACAGCATGGGCTAATTGGATGTGACATATTAAAAAATGTTTGTTTTGGACAAAATTAATTCAAAGTCCAATGTCCACAGCAGAAATTGATTGATGGGCCAACTTTAATTGTCTATTAGAATGTAATTACAAGCTTGCAACACTGGGATGTGGATGAACATACTCGAAGTCAATGTAAGATATGACTTCGAGTATCATGTGTACATCTCCAGTGTCTTGGGTTACTTAGTACTTAGTAATGTGTAAAGTCAAACTGAATATTAGAGCTGTACAAAAATATCTATGTGTCAGTATATCATGATGTTAAATTTGGTGATACAGTATTGTTATCATGGGCTGTTGTATCGATAAATCGCCAAGAGTATTTGTTGGTCTATTAGCATTTTTGTGACTGCATAACATTTTTGTTGCTTATTTAGTGAAAGAAAACTTGTTAATGCAATACACTTGACACATTCATTGTTTTGATGATAAAATAGATAGATTTCATATTAACTTTGCACAAGTAGTCATTTAACAAAGAAATATTTTTGCTAAAATGTATTTACAATATATCACAGAGTACGGGATAATATTGTATCGTGACCCACGTATCGCGTATCGTATTGAATCGTGAGGGACCGTGTGATTCCCAGCCCTACTAAATATATTTGATTTGTTATAATAGTTTTAAGAATTTGGTTATAAAAAATCATATTATGGAAATCTTCTTTAAAGCTGACTTAATATATAACATTTGTATTTCATTTGATGTATCAGAACACAATTTTAAGATCTTTTTGTTTGCCTTTACTAAAATCTTGCATATTTTGAGTATTGGAAGCAGATCAGTGAAGACATTTTTGCTAATTCTAATCAGATATTGTTCCTTGCCTAACTTTAAATAAACTGCCAGACTTGCAGATGTAAACCCATTAGTATTTGAACCACATGGTTATACAATTCTCTGTAGACAAGGAAACCTTGGTAACTCAATCCAACTCTAAATTTGTCCATTTCTTCTGCAGAACGTTAACGCTCGTATTGACTCTCCATTAGCTTAATCCCTGACTGGGTTAGCTCTTTGACACAGAGGTAAGTGTGAGCTTGAGCTGTTTGTTTATCACTAATTCTGTCAATGTCAGAGCATTTTTTTTTTCCCTGAGAAGAGCCTAATCATAATTAACGAAGGCAGGGTCTAATTAGAAGCTGAATAAATCTCACAGGGAAGACTGATTGGTGCATTTTGTGGCACCATACACCACCTGTTCAGCCCGATTCATTACCCAATTTGTTCATTTTATCTCCACTTCCAAAGGTTTAATTATAGGTTGAAGAGGCCAGGAATGACATTTCATAGCCACCAGGCCCCCTACTGCAGCTCCGGGTTAAGCTATAACATGCAGCTTGTGACCCCATATACTAGTAGATGTATGTGGGCATGGTACAAAAAGAACAGGGGAAAATATATAAAGGTGTCTTCTTTACTTCACTGCATTATCTGTTTACTATGCCATGAGTTGTAATGATTTAAAGGTCCTATAATACACTAAATTGAATCTTGTGAGCTTTAAGTCATATGATAATGTTGTTACCTCTTCAAAAACGTAGCCAGAGTTGTGTTTTGTTTCATTCACACATGTTTGAGTAATGCTTTATTATTAGTCTATCTACATCTCCAAAGATGAAAATGCCCTGTTCTGTTCCAGAGCACTTCCTGTATTACTACATGACATCACAAGGTGGAACAGAGTGTTTTATATTTGACAGAAGAATATGCAGATTTTATGTTACAAATGTGAGAATAAAACCTCCTTGTATGCTTGTTAAGAGGAAACAACATTATAACATAGATCAGAAAAAAAGCATTGACTCTTTAAATAATACAAAATACACATAATAAAATCAACTCTACTTTCTTCTACCATTGCCACTAAAACTATTACTAATATTCCAGATACTAATACTAATAGGCAGTGTTGGGAAGTAACTAACTACATACATATTCATTTTCAGAATACTAAATTTGAGTTACTGTTTTCCAGTGACTCTTTCATTTGGTGGTTTTAATAAATAAATAAAGTTAATTTTCTCAAATCAAAACAATACATTGTGGTACTTAATCATGTAATTTAGGTTTCAAACTGTGTGGCATTAGACAGAAAAAGGAAAATTACACATACCGCATGTGTAATTTTTCCTTCTCAAAACAGTGATTTGAAGCTAGGCAGGCAATGGAACAAACAAAGCTCTTTTACTCTTTTTACTCTTTTATCATGTCACTTTTATACCCTGCTATAATATTATACAACTCAAAATGAAAGTATTTTAAGTTTTCATAATACAGTACTTCTAATACAGGTATTCAGTAATCTGTAAATACACATTATATTCATCCCAACACTGCTAATAGGCTACTAATGTACACCTTAAATGTATTTATAAACTAAAAAGGCCATTAAAGGGACAGTTCAGAATTTTGGACATAGGACCTCATTTCCTACTGAGCCAGAGTGTTGGAGATGTGTGGAGAGATTTTTTTCAATAGTCCAACCAGTCCTTGTATTTGCAAGGGTCACTGGTGCTAGGCTAGCACATGTCAATGAGCATAGTTAGCCTGCCACTAAAAACAGTCTTACGCACTCCACAAAGCACCCGAGGCAAAAGAAATATAACACAAGGCTGTCAATGTAAATGTTTGTGTGGATAGAATAATTTTAGAAGTAAAATCAACCTTGCATTTGAAGGATTTATGTGTGAGTTGTACTTCCTGATAGAAAGCTTGGCAGCAGCGGACTGATTTATGAGAAAATAGTCCCTCAACATGCGATGATTCATGCGATGCAAGGTTAGTTTTATTTCAAATATTATTCTATCCACACAGACATTCACATCGACAGTCTGGCATAATAATAGATTTGCTTCGGGTGTTTAGTGGAGTGGGTAAGAGTGTTTTTAGTGGCAGGCTAACTATGGCCATTGACATGCACTAGCCTAGCACCAGCGACCTCTGCAAATACAAGGACTGGATGGAATTATTTAAAAAGTGTCTCCACACATCTCCAACACTCTGGCTCATTAGGAAATGAGGCCCTATGTCCAAAATTCCAAATTGTCCCTTTAAAAGTGCATTGTGTAACTTTTGTGGTGAAGGGTCAGTCAAATGCTTTTCTTTATAGAAATGTTATTGCTTTGTCTGGAATGTTTCACAGTATGGGTATTAAACCTTTCTATATTCATAGAGACGACAACAGACCAAGTTACAAGTAAGATCTGTGGAGAGGCGACCACGTTCACCATCCGAATGCCTGTTTTTCTACGTGTTTTTGAGCTATAAAACCACCTGTAATTGAATAAATGTAAGCTAGAGCTGTTTAATGTCATACTGTGGAACATTCCAGACAAAGCAATGACACATTCATAGAAACAAGCAGGTGACGGACCCTACACCATAAAAGTTACACAATGCATCTTTAAGTACGTGCTCTGCAATGGCAATATTGCATAATGTTATAATAAACATGATATTAGAACATTTGAATATAGTTTAAGATTGTATTTGAAAACACACACACTCTTCCTTTTGGGTTTGAGTTAAATCTGTCCTTATAAACATACATTGGTTCCTAGTACATTTCTGCATTGCTGTTTTTGCATGAACTCCTGTGCACTTGTTGTTTTGTGTGTGCGGTTTTGAGAGCTTTTGCCATGGCCCCTTTTTGGTCAACTAATGGACAAGAATTTCTTTAGTCGTCTACACTCCTATAGTTTTCATAGCATGATATAAGTCTCTATCCATTTCCATTTATGTAGACTTGGTACTGATACATTTTGCAAACTAGCTTGTCCCCTTTTTGCGGCTGTAAGTAGCGTATTACATTACCCGACATTACAAAAGCCACACAACAGGAGGCAGCCTTTTAAATGAACAAAAAGCCATTGCGTTTTGATTTATTATGTCTCTCTTAAGCTTTTCATCCCTCACTTCAAACTAAACTAACAGTGATTTGAGTGGCAGGATTTCTCGAGCAGTCCGATAAAAGAGTCAGATCATGCAGACCAATGAATATTTGCGTTTCATTCCACAAAGCTTTCTCTTCAGGCGTATATTACAATCTTTTATGGGGGACATGGTGTGGATAGGGTGACCTTTTGTGTGTGGGGAATAAAAATACTCAACCCAGAGAGAGTGATAATGTCGAATTTGCAGACAATCCAGCAGCCCACAAAGGCAAGTGCAGAATATAATGTTGGAATTTGAACTCTTATGAAACCAAATGTGCCAAGCAAATAGCTACGTTTTGAACAATTGAATTCAAAGTTTTCAAAGAGTTTTCATTGCACTTTTTGAAAAAATTATAAGTAATAGGGGATTTTTTGTTTACCTATAAAATTAATATGTCACAACATTATACGGCTCATATTACACTATTTTCTGATCTTTGTTATAATGTTGTTTCATCATCACAAACATACCTGAAGCCGTGTTTTGTTTCACACACGTTAAACACTAACATTTTTCATAAAATGGAAAAATTATGACTGAGGCACTCTGAGTGGCGACTACTTGGTCTTCATCAAGACCAAGTAGTCGAAACACGTTGGCGTGACTTTTAATAAATTCACCGCAAATCAGAGTGCCTCTGCCATCATTTTTCTATTTTACGTGGATCTAGCCCTCCGGTATGATGAGCACCTGTTATGCGTAAGTTTCTTTGATCCAGTGTAGCACTCCAATTTTGTTATTTTTTACAAACATTTTTCATATTGGGGCTAAGATCTTCACTAGAATCCTTTCAGCCCCAGAAATCTACTGAGTTTGAGGTAAAAGATAGCTGTTAACTTGAAAACTATCACTAAATGACATCACAAAGTGGAACAGAGCATTTCGATCTTGGGAGATGTACAGTGACTAATGATAAAGGATTACTCAAACATGAAACAAAATACAACTCCAGGAATGTTTTTGATTAGGTAACAGCATTATAACGTGACCTAAAGCTCACAAAAGTCAATTTGGCATAATATAGGACCTTTAATTAATCTGCATATTATTTAACAGTATAATGTCCATTAGAATATAAATACATTTTATCATGGCTAGTGTGACGCTAAGAACATCTATGAAAGAGGCCCAAAACTGACATATCATTTTGCATAAGGGGTAATGTTACTAATGAAAAGGTGTTGGCACTATATATACTCCAAATCTACGGTAAAAAGGTTCACTGGAAGGGCATCTGACTGAAAACCTACACCAATACCATATGATAATCACTGTATACACGTAATTATAAGATGTTGACTGTAAATAGTCAAAATTAAAGATGTTAATTTAAATGAATTGTCTCATGAGTTGGTTGTTCATTTAGCAGTTATATGGTTATTATTTCAGACAGGAGCTTGACCTCTGGGTGACCCCTGCTGCTGTCTTTTGGAGAGCTGGGGGTCGCTGAGGGGGGGTTAGAGGTACGACTGTCCCAGCCTCACTGTCCCATGTTAATGATGACCGATGTTCCCCAATTAGATGTGGTGACGGGGCCTAAAGCGCTGTGCCATTAATCACAGCCGCGGCGTTCACAAAGAGAAAATCACAGCATGATTTATGGCTCCTCCAGCTTCCCGTACACACTCTCTTCCCATCTCTATCTCATTGGGCTCCATTGTTTTTCTTAGGCTCTGTGCAGTGGTGATCTGGCCCAGCCTGCTATACTCCTCCAGACTTAATCCGTCACAGTGCGGAGTATGGGAGCTGTCCTTACACAAGACTTGGGGTTTTTATTTTAGGGGCAACTATGGATACAACTGAGACTAAACAGAGCTTGCAAAATCATGTAAATTGTATTTTTCAACTATAGATTCTGCAACTAATGATGATGTAATATAGCAAGTGATGTTTTACATGTATTTATTGTTGTGCGTATCCATAGTCACTGTACATAATGAGTTTAAACTTAAAGGTGCACTGCGGAACTTTTCTGGTGGAGTGTTAACTACCTACTTGTCTCCATGGCGATGTTCTTTGCTTTACCTAGAATATTCTATGGTATTACATTAAACATATACATCTAGCATTTATTCATTATGTGTGTTTCTATTGTTGTGTATCTACTATCCACTGGAAATATGGCGCAGTGTACCTTTAAGGTGCTTTATTTGTCTCTCATGGGGGGTATTCATTCATCTCAAGGTCTTGAGTTTGCCTAGTTATTTTGGACTTGCCTATTGTGCAGAAACTAGACTGAGCAGAAATAAACAGACACGAGGAGAACATGCAAACTCTGCACAGAAAGCCCATGGGTCCAAGCTGAGAAGTACATTTTTTATTGTATTTTTTCCTTTGTTTAGTATCCCTATTCATATTTTAATGGAACTACTTTTGAGCATACTTAGTCCATGCTGTACATGCTGGTTTTGCAAATTGCTGTGGCAAAAATTTCACCAAAGATTTTTTTTTTTTTTTTTAATCATAACTCACACTTAATTGTATATAATTTGTGCACTATTTGTTATTTTGTGCCTGTTTTAACCTTTGTAACATAAAGTGTCAAGATAGGCACTTAGAAATATAAGGAAGCATTGTTATATAGTTAAACACATATATTTGTATTATTCTGACCTAAATGTCAAAGGAAAGTGTTATCCATTGCTTGAAAATTGCAGGCAGAGAAACTGTAATACTTATTTTAATGACATGCCTTGCTCCAAAGGTTAAAGTCACAAAGTAAAGCTGCTCCACAACTTCAAGAACCCTAGACAGTAGTGTTTGTGTCTTGTAAGAGATACACAAACAAACAGCAGATAAAGTAAACATCACTGTTACTAAAAAAGTTCAGGTTAATAACACATACATACATTTCTATAATGAATAAAGTTTTGCAGTTGAAAACCTTCCAAAACATTACAACATGCATCTTTGAAAAGAGACCTCTCCACACCTTTTCCAGACTTATTGTCAGTTGTTTTGTTGAACTGGGATACACCACTTGTCACCATGCCTGTAGCTGTTAGGACCACAGAGACTCAGGATAGGGGGGTGTGGGTGGAGTGGGTGGAGGGAACATCCGGAAACAGGATCAGGATTTGAACCAGGACGGGGGAGGACAGCCCAAATTACTGTCACATGCACCTGCCCTGTCAGAGTAACTCACCGTTCCTCTGGATATCCACTCACTAATGCACATAGACTGCCCCAGGACGACAGGTGCGGGGGAGGCAGGAGCAGTGATATCGAGTCAACCAGCAGAGGACGCAAAGGGGTGAGGTAGCAGGTTAGGGTGGTGCCGGGGTGGTTGTAGGTTGCAGGTTTTCGGGGGTATTTCATAGCAGGCATATCGGGACAGATAGGGTCATATAGGGCTCAGGCAATTTCTGTATTTACTGTACTCACATAGTCTGAATCCGCTTTGGAATCGTAGTATGAAATGGCATTCTCCTGTGAGGAAAAGAAAAGTGGAAAAAGAAGACAGAAAAGTGATGAGAGCAAAAACCGCATTTACCTATCAACCCCGACTCCTAGTGAGCTGGAGAGAGCCGCAGTTATATTCTATCACAGAATATAATCAACATCACATACACAAGAAGTAGTAGTGTGATGGTGAATGGGACTCACGAGGGGGCGAGTAGGTAACCAGTCTGACCAATGCAATGTGGTATGAGCAGCACAGAACATGTTTTTACAAGACTGTAGTAACATATTCAAAATGGCTGTTGGAGAAAATGATTTGAGTTTTGGCACTATAAGGCACGATGTTATGGAGAAATGTGGCTTGCAAAGTGAGAAAGAGGAAACTGAAAAAAATATTACTCGCTCACAGAAGCTTGCTTATCAGGCTCGGCTGGCTGCGTGTGTGTTGGGTCTAGGTGGCAAAGGATGACAGGACAGAGTGAAAAAGGAAAGAATTCAAATTAATGTCATTGTTGTGTTGTGTCCTTTGTGTTTTAAACATAAAGCAGGGATTCTCAAAGACTTAACTTCATGAAATATTTTGTTTTGCTCTTGCTATTTATAGGTGCACATGTAACTTTTGTGGAGGAGGGGTCAGCTACCTTCTTGCTCCGTGGAGATGTTATTGGTTTGTCTTGCATATTTCACAATGCTTCTTTTATTTATTCTATTACAGGTGTTAATAGCAAAAAATACCTTAGAAAACATGCAGTCTTTCTGTAAGTAGGGTCACCTCTCCACAGATCTGACCCGTAACTTGTTGATGTCACCTGCCAGTTTTATTAGTTTAGACACTGGGATAAAATCTCCATGGAGACAAGCAGGTTGCTGACCTTCCAGCAAAAAAAATTCACACAGTGCACATAAAAAAATAGACACAAGTCCAAATTTATTAAAACTAACACATTTTTATTGGGTTTCAGTACTAAACCATATCAGAGCAGAACCTGGATTAAAGTGTACTTTTAACTCTGAAATTGACTAACTCAGCAATGAACCAAGACTGCACATGTCCACTAATCTATGACAGAACCAAAAAAAAATCTAAACTTGTACTGGAACTAGAAGGTTCAAAACAACAAGGCAGGGCTAAGTTGGCTCTGCATCAACCAAGTCTGAATACAAATACAACTAAACAGCTGCAACAGCTCAAAAATATAAAACTATATCAGAGTTTGAGAACCACTGGTCTCCCACATACAGCTGCAGAAAGCCCTCCCGCACATGTCTCTCTTTGGGTTCATTGGCCTTTAGAGCGTCCTGCTGCATCCTCTGTGAACTGTGCTGTCCTGTCCTCACAGAGGGAGGGGAGGCTATCTGCGGGGTCGGGCTATTACCATGTGAAGGCTCCTCTCAAGGGCACTACACTGACCGACCAGGGGCTAAGGGCATAGGAGGCTATAATACAATATGATATAAAGGCCTGCATTGGAACGACTGTTTCACATTGTGTCTCTATTGTGAAGATGTTATATCTAGTAATATATTGTGCTTTATTTTTATTCTACACTGGAACAAATAGATGGTCACATTTTATACAGCGCTTTTCCACCTTCAAGGCACTCAAAGCGCTTTACATTAAGGAGTCACTCACCCATTCACACACCAGTGTATACAGACACTGGGGGAGAGGGGGGTTAAATGTCTTACCCAAGGACACAACGGCAGCATTCATGTGTGGGAGCTGGAATTGCACTGCCAACCTGTGGTCCAATGGATATTACCGCTCAGCCAATGATGTTTATGTCAAGAGTTCGGATCAGTAGATGAACACTCTACCAACTGAGCTACTTTAAATAAGTAGTGTTTAACTTGACTTGAGTTTATTTTGACAATTTAAAAATAAGATTGACAATGGAAAAAGCATAAAATGTCATGTGAAATATTCTTTGTCACATAAGCAATAAAATCTTGTCAAAACTACTCAAACTCTGATAAAGTAAGTCAGTCACTTTAATACATTTTTATATAAGAACACACTTTGCCTACAGTGTATTCCAGTAATAGTCAGTCATGGTTACAACATTGTTTTAGTCAGGAGTAGTCTTGAGGCACTTTATTAGATACACTTAGTGGTTTCTATAGCCATCATATACCCAAGTCTTGTTTTTTTTAGCTCTTCCACATCTGCATTGTCACAAAAATATTACAGTGATTTGCATTTGATATTAATTTGGATTTTGCAGATACAGCCTTTGTTATTTGTTTAGGTCTGGGACTAGCACAAGAAATACATGCACTTGTACGTTTGGAATGTGACACAAAAAATAATCTACTTTTAAATTCAAATGTGTTAGTTGGGTCTACTTTTTTGTTTTGGGTTTTTGTTTCTTAACTAGCTGAACATAGCTGTACCTAATAAAGTGGCCAGAATATGATCTCTCCCCTGCTGAGGCGTTACAAAATGACATGGATGAGTGGATGGGCAGGGGTTACTCTGGGTCAGTGGCAATGGGGAGGTTGGAGGGTCTGATTCAAAGTAATAGATGGGATGGGGTGATGATGCTGGTGGGTGCAGTGGAGCTAAAAATAGCATGTGACTCTGCAGAGAAGAAATGGATGGAGAGAGAGAGAAAGAAAGAGAGAGAGAAAGAGAGAAAGAGAGAGAGAGACAAAGTATGAAGGTGAAGAAGAGAGAGAGAGAGAGGGTAGAGCAACAGTTACGTGTACTGTGCCAGAAGGATTGATCAGGAGCCATAGCGTACCCTCGCTTTCAAAGACTTTCATGACTGCTGTATTACCACATATTCAGAGCTACTTCTGGTAAATAAACTCATCCAAAGTACTGGTGTTGTCAACATGGAAGAGGATTGATACAGTTCTGATTTTGGATACCAGAGTTATAAAAAACAAAACAAAAAAAACATAAAAGACAGACGAAAATGCAAAACGATAATTTCTTTAATATAAACATGTGGTCTTATTTTGTATAGTACTATATAGCTATGCCTGTCACAATAACAAATTTTGAAGTGCGACATATTGCTGAAGTAAATATAGATGATAAACAATAATACTGAAAGTAATTTATGCCACTGATACAATAACAAACAGATTTAAACCACCAAAACTATTCTAAATCAAGATCTAAAATATTGTTTAAAAAAACAAAAAAAAACAAAACATGAGCTGCAATAAATAAATAGCAGAATGAAACACTTCTGTACTGAGTTTGCATCTGAGATGAGTCATAGAAGTTATTAATTCAACCTTTTATGGCTCAAATCTGATCATATAGTAGTGGAAAGAAAATGCATGCACAATTAATATTAACCCCACGCTTTAGCTTTCATATATTGAAAGATGAGCTGATATTGTAATTATCGTGACAGGCTTATATATAGCTTAAAAGCAAGTCCACTTTCACCAATATATGATACCTCAATAGAGAAACCTGTTCAAATGTACTTTCTTGTATCTTTGATTTTAACACAATACACCATTAAAAACCAAAAGGCACTGATGACTGCAATCAAGATCACACAGAGTTATAAACAACACATGTTTATTACTTACTGTATGGAAAATGTGATTATATATGTGTAGAATTGTTGTAGAATTACAAGCTGCACATTTCAGATGATAAAATATTGCGGCCGTTGCCATAGAAATTAACATGCCAAACAAAATATTCTTTTAAAAAGTTAAAAGTCCTGAAAATGGCACCCATAAAAAAAAAAACAGAAACCCGTAACTAAGAAAACAATGTCTGTGTAAATTGCCTAACCTCGCATAGCCCAAGACAGCAGGTCTGATTGGAGAGTCACTCGCCACTTTGACCCTGTGATAACCCTGAGCTAACCACGCCATCTGCTGCGTCCGCTCACAGGTCTCTACGGGACCAGAGCCGAGGTTAAACACAGATCTGATACAGGACGGGCCCACAATTATCCTTTAATCGCCCCGGTAACCCACAAACCAGCCACCATCACAACTACTAACACTACCTACTGCTTTAGTGCTCTGTGTACAGTCACATAGCCTGAAAAATTCCCCCCGACCCCCAAGAGCTATCAGTAAATTGAATCTATCATGCTGAGTAGACCTGCACACCCCAACAAGAGACAAACGCTAAGGTCAGGTGATCGCTTTGTATATAGAATCCATCTTTTAGCCCCTCCCTTCGCCAAAATGCTATCTGTACCTCCGCCCTCCTGCAGTTTCTTCTTACTGGCCTGTCTTATCTTCATCTCTTCTTCCAATCTCTCTATTCTCAGTACCAGTCCTCCTTCTTGCCAATTTCAGATTTCAGCAAAGGCTTCTGGGTTAGATGTTGCTATAGAAACCGCCTCTCTGCTCCAGATTACAATGTGACTTTGTCTCCTTTGTCGCCAAGGCAAAAAATGTCCGACCAAAAATGTGTCTGTCTGACTGGCTGTTTTACACCTCTAGATCGCGTAAGATACAGGATTTTGGAACCTGTTGATCACTGGAAATATTTGTCACCCATTTTTAGGGATTCGTAAATCTCTTCTTTGTTCCATTCTAGGGTACATTCGAGGCTACATTCTTACAGCCTTACAGTGTAATGTATTAATGTCAATACGCTGTGGACTAGGAATTTGTTGAAGAAGATGAGGAAAAGCTTTAAAGTACACTATGTAACTAATCTGGAGGAGTCTCAGTCACCGGATTGTACTTGGCTTGGTGAGGTTGTTTCCTTTTCCAGACAGCATTTTATAGCATTTCAGCAAAAAGAAACAAGAAGTTTTTGGACCCTCTACCCAAAAGCTTACATAGGATCACTTTAATAATAACATAATGCTCAAAAAGGGTTAGAATGAATGAGGCAGATTATTTTACAGTGCATTCTATAACTTCAGCCAATCACATGTCTAGGAAGGTCTCAGGTTTTGGACGCGTCTATTGGCTGTTGGGTCGGACCAGCTTGTCATCAGCAAAGCAATGCCAGACAGACAGACTCGGCTGGCTCCATGCTCACACAATAACCGCACAAGAAAACATGACTAGAGAAAGTTAAATGCACA